CCCTAAACCCTAAGCCAGCCTTCTTTGTCCAGGTACGCGACCTCCGCTGTCTGTGACGCACCAAGCCCACTCCGCCTGCGCACTCGCGCCTTTGCCTCCGCAAGGTTTGGCACCCGTTTCGGGGTTTTGGGTTTAGGGTTTNNGGTTTAGGGGATTAGGGTTTAGGGTAAACAAGACATGAACCCAAGGGGTTTAGGGTTTAGGGTTTAGGCGGTATTCGGGTTTGGGTTTAGGCGGTTTAGGGTTTAGGGTTTAGGCGGTTTAGGGTTTAGAGCTTCAGCCCGGGGGGCTGCAGATTGAACGATTTAGGTTTAGGGTTTAGGGTTTTGGGCCGAACTGGTCGAAATTGCGGCTGGTATGAAGAGTTAGGGTGCTTCTGATAAGCTTCTTGGATTGGTCGTGATAAGATCTACTAGATTCCGATGAGTCAAGGGTTAATATGATGCCGGCTGAACGCAAACAGATGCCCTGATCCAAGTCTTCTTGCTGGACGAGTTTACCGACTGGTCCCTTTGCGAATCCGGAAAGGTACAGGAGTTCTAGTGATTAATTTAATCGCCCCGCAATTTTAAAGGTTGCGTAATTTTGTGTGTATAGGGTTGTAGATCAAGTGACTCGTCTGTATGTACTACCCTAAACCCTATAAACCCTAAACCGTCAGTATGTACACCTCAAGTTGAGGGACTGGTCGTCTTACTTACGAAGTCCCCTCATCTCCCAAGTAAGGGGTTCGCTTCAGCAACAAAAGAGTGTTCATGCTATAGCTATAAGCAACCCCTCAACCTCAACCCTAAACCCTACAAACCCTAAACGGTCCCAAAACCCTCAACCCTAAACCGTGTAAACCCTAAATGGTCCCTAAACCCTAAACCCTGTAAACCCTAAATGGTCCCTAAACCCTTTAAACCCTAGACCCTATAAACCCTAAATTGTCCCTAAACCCTACACCCTAAACCCTATAAACCCTATAAGCCCTAAATGGAAGTAGTTTAGGCCCCGCAATTACTGCGCAGAGACGTGCACCTTCTCTGAGGGCAGCTCCTGCCATTTCATCTTGCCCTGGCCTTTCCGGTCCTCGAGGTTAGGGTTTAGGGTTTAGGGTTTAGGGTTCCCTAAACTTCTTAAGCCCCCCTTTGAAAGGGACCCTCATTTGAAGAAATAACCCACGAAGAGCTCAAGTAGCGATTGAGGGCTGAGGGCGCTTGGGACTTGCGAGATGAAAACAAAAATGAACGGCTCAATCAGTGTTTTGGCGGGGGCTTCTTGGGTGCAGGGATGGGGCATGGTAGGGTTGAGCGGTCCTCGAAGTAGAAGACATGAAGGGTTTGCTGGAGCTCCACTGCCTTGTGCACGTTCCTGGGCTGCTGCTGTCTGAATGGGCTGCGTTATGCAAACGATCCTACTGTCGCCACCACAGCACCCCATAAACCCCAACCCTAGACCAGTACCCGCTGCAAAATAGAACCAACTAAGCCAGGGTTCCTCCTCCAGTCCTCGAACCAGCGACAGCCCCAGGGAGCTCGGCCACGATTTGCCGCGCAGCGGGCGCGGGCGTCCTCCTCGGCATCGGCGAGCTTCCGCCGCCACTCGAACTCGCCATGATGGGCCTTTCGCCTGACCTTAGTTTTGTTTTGGGGTTCATGGTGCGACAGGTACTCGGGCTCGACCTTATGGTGATAAACTTAAAGACTTCCGGGTGCACTTACATACATGCACCCACACTACGAAGGGGCCTTGCTATAAGGTGTAATCACGATGGTCTCCTCGCCAGTGCAAAATATCTAAACAGATTTGTCGAACCAAGTTGCCAGGCACTGGCCCATCGCCAGCGCATCTGCCAGTTTAAATTCCAAGTCGATCGGGGCTTGCGAATCTTGCATCTCAGGGCGCATGTCGACCACACTTATATACGTGGATGCCGGGAGGCTTCCATAAATGGCGCGGCACCAACACTCTCCGGGGGAATCTGGGTTCTCGCAGTGCACACCCAATCCGGATGCCCGGTCTGTCAGGAAGACGCAGGCGAGCGAAATAGCTTCCTGGGTCTTCGCCACAGAGACTGCCTGGTCCCACTCCTCGCTGTACTTCCCAGGAAAGGACACGATGCAATCCCGCGCAGTCTCGTTGACCCGCCCGGAGAAGGCGATGCGCTTAGTCGAGGTGAGGCCGAAGCCCTGAAGGGTTGCGAGCTTCTGAAAGGCAGCCATGGGATTCTGCCATTGCTGAGGACCGATGAGGCCACTCAACAGCAGCACGTTCAGCACCTTGAGGACCAAATGACCCTTCAAAGTAGGAGCCTTTGTCCCATATACTATGACTCCCTATATGGTAGATGAACCTTAAGCCCTTTTAGGGTTTATTTCGTCCCAGAGGCACCTGGAGTGTCATGTCCAGCGTCAGCAACATCGTGCCAGATGTTTGTTGCGGATTCTGCCAGTCAACAATCTTCACAGTGGCATTCGTAAACACAATGGTGGCCCGCATGCTGAGAATGGGGCCCAGAAGCTGCAAAGTGGAGTTTACGTACAGTAGACAGGCAGCATGCCTGATGTCAGAATCGTGCCATCCGACACTTAGAGCCCTGCCAGCTGCAACACACAATCCGAGGAATTGGAGCGGCAACCCCAGCAAGGTACAGGCTACACCGATCCAGGCGAAGGCCCGCATGGCATCTTCGCGAAGGACATCACTTGAAGTCTTCTGAGATCGCTGGCCCTCAAGGTCTCCAATCCAAGCGGCAATGGCGCAGCAAACTACCCAACCACACACCATCAGGCTTGTCAGCACCTTGAGGACCAAATGACCCTTAAAAGTAGGAGCCCTATTCCCATATACTATGATTCCCTATATGGTATATGAACCTTAAACCCTTTTAAGGTTCATTTCGTCCCTAAGGCACCTGGCATATCCGTGCAATTTGCTTCAGGCCCAGCGCATGCAGCTTGAGGTTCGTCATCTGCATCTGCATGGCATTGCAAGAGCTTTCCCAAGCATACATGGCCTATACTGAACTTGGTTCCCTTGCAACAGCCATACTTCTGGCTGTTCTTAGGGGTTATAGTAACCATAAACTAAACATCGTTTCCAAGGTCCCCTAAGTTGCATACATTGCCACGGTTGAGGTCAGCTGACTCCCCCATAGGAAGACAGCAACATCACAGTGGAAAGAGGCGAGGCAGTACAGGGCCCGCCGTGTCCAGAGATGCAGTGACGGCTCAGACATGCGTTCGAAGCGACAATACAACACCTGGTTCTTTGTTGGGTCTATATTAAATATATTCATTTTTAATCCTTTTGGGTTTAATTATAACAAGAATGTAAAATTGTAGCCAACAAGGACCCAGACACTGTCAATCCGAACCCAGTAACCAGAGGCCTCACGAAGCCATCGCAGATCAGTGGTATGATGACACTGGTGGGGTAGGATCTTTCTGCACGCCCTCTGAGAAATACAGACGTCAAGTTGGCAACGATGCGGGCAAGTGTATACAGAACCACAGCAAGCTTCGCTCGCCAGAGCTTCGGAGCGGGTCCTGGCTTGCTTTTTTAGGGCTTAGGGTTTAGGGTTGAGGGTTTAGGGTCAAGGGTTTAGGGTTTTGGGTTGAGGGTTTGGGGGTTTAGGGGTTTAGGGTTCAGGGTTTAGGGGTTAAGGGTTTAGGGTTCAGGGTTTAGGTTTAGGGGCAAACTGGACAACATAGACGTACCTCCGAGGGATGTGCATGTACGCGCTTGGCTTACGCACATACACGCATGCATACATAGACTATTTGCGTGGGAGAGACAAAGAGACAGAGAAAGAGACACACTGACGAAGAGAGCCTCTGACAATGAGCTGGCCTTCTGCATGTGCCGAGATGCTTTCTGTACATGGGTTTGTCTCTGGCCAGTTTACTTGCTTGCATACATGAGGGCTCTGATCCTTAAAAAACTTGCAGAATGCCAGACACGGCACATCCGACAGTTGAAGGAAGTAGGCTGAAGTGTAACTGAGATGCCTGCCGGCTTCTGCTGTAGTACCGTTGGAAAAACCCTCAACCCTCCGCCCGAACCTGTCTCAACCCTAAACCTAAAGCCCCTGCCCTAAACTTAAAAAATCCTAAATCGAAAGGCCCTAAACCCAAAATCCCCAAGCCGTAAACCCTAAACCCCAAAATCCTAAATCGAAAGGCCCTAAACCCAAAACCCTTAATCCCTAGACCCCAAAATCCTATATCGAAAGGCCCTAAACCCAAAATCCCCAAGCCGTAAACCCTAAACCACAAAATCCTAAATCGAAAGGCCCTAAACCCAAAACCCTTAATCCCTAAAACCCAAAATCCACAATCCGTAATTCCAAACCCCAAAATGCTAAATGGAACTGCCCTAAACCCCAACACCGCAAACTCTACATACTAAAGCATAAAACCCAAAAACCCTAAACCCTTAACCCCAAAACCTTACAAACCCCAACGTCCTAAGAACAGAAATTACCAAGACCTGAAGAAAGTCAAACTCTAAACCCTAAACCCTAAACCCTCAACCCTCCAAACCCCAAAGTCCTAAGAACTGAAATTACCAAGACCTGAAGAAAGTCAAACTCTAAACCCTAAACCCTAAACCCTCAACCGTCCAAACCCCACAGTCCTAAGAACAGAAATTACCAAGACCTGAACCCTAAGGGTCCAAGTACCTAATAATCATATACTCTCTGAAATATTAACCTAGAAAACTACTATCCGCAACCAAAGTACCTTATTATCAGGTCCTTTGGACCCTTAGGGTGAAGAAAGTCAAACTCCTCGCTGCAGTTCCGTCTCCGTCTCGGCCAAGAGAGGTCTCCTGTAACTACATTAGGAGGTCTAGGGTCTAGGGTTTAGGGTTTAGGGTTTAGGGTCTAGGGTTTAGGGTTTAGGGTCTAGGGTTTAGGGTTTAGGGTTTAGGGTCTAGGGTCTAGGGTTTAGGGTTTAGGGACTCATAAACCCTATAAGCCCTAAACCCACGAAGGCTCTTGCGGGAGAGTTCTTGGGTCTCTTTGGGGGCCTCTGCAACCTAACACCCCAACCCTAAAACCTAAACCTCTGACCCAAACTCTAAAACCTCAAACCCTAGCCCTAGCACCCTAGCTTGTCGGTAGACCTCTAGATTAGGGTCCCTTGTTAGGGTCCTTCTGTTAAGTGTGCCGTACTATATTGGGGATCTATTCAGGGACTGCAATTTAAAGAACTACTGTTGATGATATAGATCCTGCATTACCTTAAGGAAACTATGGGAATTATGGCATATTCCTTATTACGGGTAATGCAGGGTTTATATCATCAACCCTAACCCCTAAACCCCTAAACCCCTAAACCCTAAGCCCTAAACCCCTACACCCTAAACCGTACCCTTGTCCTTCTTCTTCGTCTTTGGTATGGCCAGGCTCTGGGGGAGGGAAGAGCCCAGCTTGCTGGAATCAGCTCTTCCGCCGTAAAGGGGACCTGGGTTTAGGGCTTATAGGGCTTCGGGTTTAGGGTTTAGGGTTTAGGGACCTGCTTCTACTTGCTTTGTAGCGCTTTGGTTCAAAGCTCTTAGATGAAGGCTTTCCAAGGTGTGATGTACTTTTATATGATGCGCTTATGTGCACAGTTTCTGAAGTTTCTTCTAAGGCCTTTGCAGGATTGTGCAAATGTTACGGGTTTGCGTCACGAAGGCATGATGACATTCAAATCTTCGTTATGCAATTAAGCTTCAGCCAGGTGGCTTAGAGGCTTGGGTTGCGGATGTTGCCCCTACGCCTAGGATTTATGAGATTGGTTTACGAGGCTTTTTGGGTAGGGCTTTGTGAGGTGTTCGCAAGGTTTGTATAAGGTATTCGCCAATGCTTTGTCGGTGTTGAATTAAATCTTGTCTAACGGTTGCACAAGGTCTGTTTTAGCAAGATGTTTAAGGCTGTGAGCAATTTGGCTGTCAGCGCGGTGAAGGGGTTCCATGCGGAATCCCTGCATCCGAAACCCTAAATTTCTGAACCCTAAAACCCTAAACCCCTAAACCCTAAACCCTAAACCCCTAAACCCTACACCCCTAAACCCTAAAACCTAGACTAACCATCATCATGAAGACTAAACCCGAGATCCCTAGAAAGGGACAAGACCTGGAACAGCGCCAGGGATGACAACGAAAAGGCTTAATGTGGGGGCCTTAATAATTGGAACTAGGGTTCCTTTAATGGGGTCCTAAAGGGTTCCTCTAAAAAAGGGTTCTATAAGGAAGCTGCTATAATATGAAGATTCTACAATCTGGGGCCTCAATAATGAAGAATAGGGTTTTGGGGTTTATTTCTATTGTACTTACATGAAGGAACCCCCAAAAAATAGTGTTGGTAATCATTTAGGCCCCTATCGTCTTCGAAAAAGAAGTTGATGTCCAAGTGCCCTGTATGGGGGTTTCCGAAAATAGGGGACCCTAAGATAGTACCCTGAATAGTAGGATCCTTGTTGTAAGGACCTCAAAATACAGTACCCTAATTGCCGGAGACTCCTAAAACCCTAAACCCTGAACCCTAAACCCTAAACCCGAGTTTCGGAAACTCCTAAAACCCTAAACCCCGAACCCTAAACCCTGAACCCTAAAGTTATGGTATGTATAACTCTATAAAAGTAGCTACTTACTAAGTCCCCCGACCCTCCGAGGACTGTAGGGGCCTTAATAATAATTAGAATAAGGTTCTGGGCTCCTTTATAGTATGATTAGAATAAGGAACCCTAAGCAGTAATATTCGTAATTATTTGGGCTTCTATATAGGCACTTTCTGAAAGCAACTGACTGCGCCATAAACCCAAAGTAGTGCGAACACTTATCTTCAGAAACCTCACATTCACAAGTATGACATCCGAAACAATAACTTGGCTCAGAGAACCTTGCATCCCCCAATGGACACAACCCCGCATTACCCATGACATAGTGGGAGGGTATGCTGTAACTCTCATCCTACCCTAAACCCTAAACCCTAAACCCCTAAACCCAAAAACCTAACCCCTAAACCCTGAACCCTAAAACCTAAAACCTAAAGAAGAGGAGACTTCAGGTTAAAGTAAGGCAGGAATCGTGGAGGAACCCACCTTTTTGGGGCTCCTTAGTATGATTTCCTTGTATGGGTCCTTGAAAGGTAGGTTATTTTGGGGCTAAGGCAGGGTTTAGAGAACTCTCCCCCTCAGTCTCAACATCTCGAAAGCCTGATACGTTGATAAGGGTTTAGGTGTAGCCCCGAAAGCCTCAACTCTGACTCGCTGGAGCCATGCAGCAAGTGCTTCGACAAATCGGACAGGTTCACGGTTTAGCCCTAAACCCAAAGCCCTACACCCTAAACCCTTAGGCTTTAGGCTTAGCCGCCCCAAGGCCCTCAGGCTCGTTATGAAACAATCGGACAGGTGGCCGAGTCCGCTCCCCGCAAGGTCAGCTCGATGGACTCGACAGCTCTGTTCGACATGGCTGGACTAATCCCTACTAAACCCTAAACCCTAAACCCTAAACCTTAAACCCTAAACCCTAAACCCTAAACCCTAAACCCTAAACCCTAAACCTTGGATATCTCGCTACAAGGATCCAGACCCTCCAAGATCCCTTCACTAATAAGGAATCTGCCTTAAAGCATAATGGGATGCCTGATACGGCTCAAAATGCATTCCTTAATGAAGGGATGTTGGAAGGTCTGGGGACGGCAGCCCCCAAACCCTCTCCGGTGCCTTCAAATACTCAGAAGAGGTACGGGGTTCACCACAGACAAGTTCAGGCACCCCATTGCAAACAGCAGACCTCAAACGTCAGCCCAAAGCTTGCGTTGCGTCTGGGCAATTCCAGGCTTGATCCATCAGATTCTGGAGGCTTCATATATATATATATATATTCATCTATGTATTCATGTATTTATTTATCTGGACTGAGGTCCAAGAACTCTAATAATTAAGCATGTTCTTTTGGGATCTCATTCCATAGTGGCAGTCTCTTTTCTCTATATATATGTATACATATACTTATTTATTT